GTTCGGTGGGGAGTACCCAGACGATTCGCATCGGAACTCATGGAACCATTCCAGGCCCTAAGGAGACAAAGATGTGACACCGGGGCCCACTCCAACGGCCCCAGTCGGTGATGTGAGCAGTGACAATACGAAGTAAAGGGCGGTGTCCGGGCGGTGTCCTATAGAATCCAAACGCGACAGCCAAAGCGCAGGCAAAGCGGAGGCTATGGCGAAGGCATATATCGCGAAAGGTAACCCAAATGAAGGTCCCGCCGCGAAAGACCCGCGAAGGCCTGCGTGCTGTGACAGTCCGCCGCGAAAGCGCCGCGAAAGCGATTCTAAAGAAAGCAAAGCAAAGCAAAACATGGGGCCGCGAAAGCATCGAAGGGTCCGCGCAAGCAAGTTCATAGGACCGCGTTTTTACAGCAGAGTATTTGGCACTGTGGAAAAGTCATGGGACCCCGAAAAGCGATGTCTCTTTTTCAGGGCAGTCTTGTAGATTGCGTTTGGGAAACCAAGAAAACCTCGCCCCATGTGAAATCGGTCCGTTTGAGCCAAACCCATGGAGTCGATGTTCAGAACCCGAGCCTCCGGCCAAGTGAGTGCAACGTGGATATGCGTTGGCTGGGCCCTTGCCAATGGCAGTCACAGCGGATGCTAGGGCTACCAGAATCCCTTTGGTGCATTTTGCTTGGCTGTTAGGACTTTAACTTTTTGCCAACTAATGGGTTTTCCACTAAACCATTAAAAGTTAAACTTTTAGCAGGGGAGCAGAAAGCAACCGAGTTGGGTTTATAGGGACACTCTCAAGCTTTGGGACATCCCCCGAATTTTGGAGACACATGAATTTCTCTACATGTTCGCGTTGGTCGTGTTTGTAAAATATTATGTAGGACTTGGAGCGTCCTGGCAATCTCGAGAGTTCTTGATGCTTCAAGGGTAAACTCATTCTATAAATGGTTTTCAATCAAATGGATTCTGGAATGCTGGTGTCTGGAACACACATCATATCCATATATATATATATATATTATCTCACTTCCTGAGTTCATGAACTTTAATCTTTTTGGGAAGACCATTTTAGTGGTAAATATAGAGTTTGGACTTTTTTTTGGCCATCCACTCAGCAAGTGAGGTATACATGTCTGATTGTTTGCTTGCTTCTTTGTTTGTTTGTTTGTTTGTTTGTTTGTTTGTTTGTTTGTTGTGTTTGTTTTGTTTGTTTTGTTGTGTTTTGTTGTGTTTTGTTTGTTTGTTTGTTGTGTTTGTTTTGTTTGTTTTGTTGTGTTTGTTTTTTGTTTTGTTGTGTTTTGTTTGTTTTGTTTGTTTGTTTGTTTGGTTGTTTGTTTGTTTGTTTGGCTTTGTGTTTTGCTTGTTTGTTTTTTTTTGGTTTGTTGATTTGTTGGTTGGTTGGTTGGTTGGTTGGTTGGTTGGTTGGTTGGTTGGTTGGTTGGTTGGTTGGTTGGTTGGTTGGTTGGTTGGCTGGTTTTGTTTGTTTGTTTGTTTGGTTGGTTTTTTGTTTGCTTGTTTGTTTGTTTGTTTGTTTTGTTTGTTTTTGTTTGTTGGTTTGATGATTTGTTTGTTTTTTGTTTGTTTGTTTGTTTGTTTGTTTTTGTTTGTATGTGTTTTTTTCCCCGTGCGTCTCTGTGTGTCTCTGTGTGTCTCTGTGTGTCTTGTGTCTCTGTGTTTCTCTGTGTGTGTCTGGTTCAAGGTGTCCCCCTTTTTTGTTGGTCAAGTTGGAAAACCTCGCGATGGACACCGAGAAACGCCGCGCCGCCGGTGTTCACAGCTAGGAGCTGCGAAGGATCGCGGCGGCCTCCGGGGGAATGCTCTGGCGGCTTGGAGATCGAGAGGTCCATTCAACAGGGGTCCCTAGATTTCCCCTTTTCGGCTGTTTTAAGCATCACCTTTTTGGCCCATGAAAGGTGAGTATCCCTTGGTGGGGGTGATGTTTTAAGGGGAAATATAGGGAGCCCTGTTCAAAGTTTTCAATCTCAAGCCTGGGAGTTGCTCAGCTAGAAATCCGTGCACACCATGGTCAGGGGTTCCGAATGTCTCTTGAATCGAGGCAAGCTCCAAAAATGGCGATATCTTCAATGGAAGCCACTGTTTGAAGGGGAAACCCAGTGACCCCTGTATGGTTTGCGTAGTTCTCCGTTTCCCTCCAAATAGGTCCACCTTTTTGAAGAGGTTGAATCACGAAGGGAGACCAAAGGAAGCCATTCAGTTCGACACGTCTTCTGAGCATTCTTCAATTTCGGAGCGACACTGGCTCGGGTGAGAATGGTGAGAACAACTGGTGGATAGGGTGTCCCATGTTCAACAGAACCGGATATCACTACACTAGGGCAAGGCAGGTCGATTCATGCGGGTCCACAGAAAAGAAATGGTGGGGCCGGTGGTTGGCGTTTTTTTGCTTTTTGTTTTACTTTTTTTTTTTCCGGCAGTTTGTGATTGTCGACAGTTGACGAGCTCACGACTTAGTGCTGCCCCGATCTGCCGCGAAGCGATGGGACTTGGTGCAAAGAAGCCAGCCCTGAGATCACCAAATTCTGTGGCGATTTTCTTCCCCAGAATTAGCTCCCCTTTTTGCGTTTTTTTTTTTTGGGGGGGGGATTCCCTTTGTTTTCCACAAACCAGGCAAAAAAGATATTTTTTTGCTGGGGTCCTGATTCCAGCCAAGTTTTTTCAATGCGCAATAGCGTGTGTTTTGCACTTTGTCACGGCTGGACCACATGTCAGTCCGGTTGCCAACTTTCACCGATGGAAATGCATGAGTCCCTAAGAAGACTGCGTTCTCCTTTTGGAAAGCGCGGAAAGTGTACTAACCCCCACCGGAACCCCGAACCTCACTCACTTTCTAGGAGTGACACGGATGAGTTCAGGTAACCCTTGGTCCCCACCCCACCCCCCGCCCTCACCCCACCCCTTCCTCACACCACCCCACCCCACCCGGCCCTCACCCCACCCGGATGTCAGGCCCCAGCTGTTTGCTGCTGAGCCCTGGGAGCAGTTGCGGCGCTGGGCGCAGGCGGGCGGTTCATCGATTTGGGGTTGGCACCAGTTGGGATGGATGAAGCCCTTCTGGGCTAAGCCAAACCAACAGGTGCTCACAATTTCCCATTTGCATAAGAATATTATTTTTTTACCCGGATGGTTTAAAGAGGAATCTACCCCTGGATAGTGTCGCATTTTTTCCAGAGGATTGCCTTTGGGGTGTTTACAGGAAAACAAGAGGACAAGCCGCCAGGCTTTCACTCTTGCCTCGTAGATCGCTACATGTGGGTCAAAGTTAAACTACCAGGAATTGGACCGCAGGTTAAATCGTCCATGTTTCCATTTGCCAGTTCCCAAAATGGGTACCTATTTTTGACCAGCCACATGTCAGGTTTCTACGGGGAAGGTAATCAAACGGTGTATGCCAGTCCGGCCGCCCCGCAGACCATCCCAAGTTTGGTTCATCAAGCCCCGATTTGCTTGCACAGCGCCGCTGAAATCGATGATCCACGTGGATCAGCCTTCGGATTGCCCGCCCAAGCTCCGTGTGACTGGATCCGTTTTGCTTCGTAGGTCTGCAGCGATGGAAATCCACGACGTGCTGATGTGCCTTCCGTGCGTTTGGATGCTTGGAGCAGTCTCGTTGGTCCGTTCGCTGGTTTTGGTAGGTCATGCATCGCAACATTCCATTGCCACACTTAGCTTCGGCGTCCTTCAACACACCCAACTAAACAACGCAACAACTAATTGCAGGAAGTCTGGCATGACGCACATCTCAAAGGTCGCGCTGACTGGACAAACCAAGCCACGGAAGGTTGGGAGTGCAGAAACGAGCCCTGTCATTGTGTCCTGGTTTACTTGGTTGCCGCTGTAATACTGCTTTGATAGGATTCCACAAGCGGACTGCACAGCATGAATAAAACCATACCCAGGGAACAAGAGATTTCCCTTTGGCTCCTCCTTGAAGACCACACAAATGGGGTACCAACTCCAAAAAAAACGGAACAGACCCATATTTGCTGAATGGAGTTGCAGAGGTGTTTTCGGCTCCCTGCACTGCAGCGTGGCTTTGATTTGGCTATGAATTGACATGAGCCACAATCAAAACCGATTCGGGAAGATGGAGGTTAGCAAGGGACAATCCCCTTGCCCTAAATAGCTGCGGATATCCGCCTTCTTAATTCTTTACATGCTTCTGGGTCGACCATTTTAATACCGGGTTTTGATTATGACTTACATGAGTTCCCCGCCCAAATCATGTCCAAGTCCAGGATTTTCACTATTCGAGCACCCAGGTGAGCCAAATCAAAAAAACTCGTAGTCATCAAGGGGCAAATTCCCAGCCACAAATGGGTGCGGCCGGCTTCTCAATTACTTGTCAATTGGATATGGATCAAAATCAAAGCACCAGGGGACCGCAGGTGTTGGTCCATTTTTCCATTTGCCAGGGTTCCATTCGGGTATCCATTTTTGACCCACAGCCAATTCTGGGGGGCCCTTTGGGCATTTTTGGAGAGGCACGATTCATGGCTGTTCGGCGTAGACCAGCGGCAAAGGGGTACGATCCGAGGAAGGTCTCCGATATCCACCACGTGAGTGACAGCTGAGACAAAAAAGGTGGCCTGTGCAGAGTGCAGAATGGGAGGTTTGGGGAGACCGCCATCATCTTAAAACAGCCACTTTTTTCCACTTTGATGAGACAAACAATAGCCAGATGAGGAACCTCAGGCTTCTTGGCTCCAAATTGGGGCGGCCTCCGTCTCTGCTCGGGGAACCTCAGTTGAGCCGGCTGCTCAAAACCCGGGTAGATGAAGCTTGGTAAGGGGATATCCGCCTTCTTAGTTCCTGAAGCATGGTTCTGCTGGTGTTTCCTTTTGGTTTTCCCTTTAGGACACCAAAAAAGGGCTGCCCTAAAATGTTAAACGGGTCTGCCCTCGAAACAGACACCCCAACATGTCTGCCCCATTTTAGTACCGGTGTTGATTGGAGAACCTCAGTTCAGCACAAGACTTTTGGCCGCACAGGTGCAAAAGATGATCACTGAAGATGGGCGGAGTGACTTGTCGAAGGGGATGCGCTGGTGGGTTCTTTACAGCCTCGTTTTGGCGTTTGACCCGGGTTTTTTGGAGCTCTTTCCAGAGATGAGGATCTACAGTGCTCGATCCGCGTAGCTGGTTGCTAGCAGAGAGCTTGATCATATGCACCAGCCTGGACCACTTTACGTCCAATTGCGTCTGTGTGTGTGGGTCTAAACTTCGACCTAAATGGCGGTGTTGCCTGCTCGTCTTTCAACCACTCCAACAAAAAAATAATCCGGCACCCAAAAAGCAGCACACCCATGCGGGACATTCCGTGCAACCCATGCGCATGCCAGGGCTTTGCTTCTTGCGAGATCAGGTTACCAGCCAAAGACCTTTCAGAAGGCCGTCTCCATCCTGAGGCCGAAGACTCGCTTCCGGGCACAGCTTTGGTTCTTTTGCGATGTTTTGGTACAGAGCGCAAAAGCAAATCCGCGTTGCTACCCTCGTCCTATGATGGTTTCCACTATCCTCAACCCACCCACTATTTGCGGGGTAGATTGAAGTACATGCCCTGTGTATAGTGGCTATATAGTACCCCCTACTCAAAATACCTGGTTTCTTCAGGGTGTTTTTGGGAAAACCTGGGTTTCCATCACAAATACCTCCTTTTTCAGTAGAGCGTCGACATCATACCCTGAAAAAAGAGGGGATTGGGTGTGGGGGGTAGCTGTATCTCACTCCCTGAGGGTGCTTTGTTTGGGGGTAGTGGGAACCATCTGAGACTCATGGAACTTGATCGGAGGTCCCTGGTTCGCTTCGAATCCGATGCCGCTGGAGCTTGGGAGCTTGGTGAGACCGAGCGGACGCGGAATTCTTGGGGCTGTGGTGGTCAAAAACGGGGAGTAAACGCCCAAAATGGGTTGCCGGAGCGGTAAATAGAAGCAACTAAGAACATGTTAAGCTGCGGACTTAAGTTTCGGCGGATTTATTTCGACCCATACCCTTTCCTTGGGCCTGAGCTCCTTGGGGGAAACCCCTCCGAAGTCACCGCTTCGGACCGAACTGGAGGGAACGAGCGACAGCGGCTCCCAGCGCCAGGCGCGAGCAGATGATCGCCGCCGACTTGCTGAAGGAGTTTTCGGACTTCGTCCAGGACGAACCGAATCGGACCCCCTCGATGCTTTAAAAAAACGTGCGATCGGTGCGAGAGATGCAGGGACTGAGACATGGGGTTTGACCCATAAAACCCCCCCCCCACACCCAATACCCTCTTTTTTCAGGGTATGATGTCGATTCTCTACTGAAAAAGGAGGTATGTACCATGGAAACCCAGGTTTTCCCAAAAGCACCCTGAAACCAACGGGTATTTTGAGTAGGGGGCATCCCTTGCTGGCGGACCCCAAGGTTCAGAAGTGGAATGACCCCGAAGAAAGCCATCCCTTGCGGGTGGTTTCCCATCATTCGGGGACCAAAGCCTGGATTCATTTTCTCGGGGACGCCAAGAAAGAAGACAAGGTGGCTCGCAGGTCACACTGTTCACACTGACTCAAATGGATTTCGGCTTCCCGTTGAAGACCAAGAAAGGGCGACCACCTCCCAAAAAGACAGCCTCATGTGGCCATGGCCGAAACGTTCCTTGGGGTTTGTGGGGATGGTCATGCACTCTGTAGGCCTGCAAGCAAGTCAGAAAACTCGTGCTCACCCACAGAAATACCTTTGACCATGGTACATGACTTCAATTCTAGCTAACAGGGGCATGATGGTGACGTGGCACCTAAGCTAGCTGGCCTTGCCAGTTTACATTCGCGGGGGTTTAAGAACTTCCAAATGACACGGCTTTTTGGTTGGGGGACCACCAAAATGGCTTCGGTTGTCCATTTGGCTTCCCTCAAGAAAAGACGCACCCAAATAGATCCCAAGTGCATCATGTCGATGGAACAGTGTCCCGTTCCGGGAAGCAGTGAACGAAGCCCCAAGACAAAAACGGGAAGCCCTTTTCCCAAAAGGAGATGCCTCTGAACCTTGAATCTGGGCTTCGTGTCCATTGAGAGATTTTCTCCCCCCAACAAAATGTTTGAGAAACCACCTGGATATGTGGCAAGATCAATGGATTAGCCCCAAAAGCAAGATTTCCCCCAAAAAAATTGTTTGAGAGCCACCCGAAGGGGTTCCCCCCATTCTTTTTTCCGAGAAACCACCTGGAAATGTGACAAGATACGGATTTAGCCCGAAAAAAAGGTTTTCCCCAAAAAAAATGTTTGAGAACCACCAAAAGGGTGGTTCTGCTTTTGGCTTCCCTCGAAACCCAACCCCCTGGGCGGGGCGCCCGAGCGCAAACAAAAATTGCCGCCAGGAGCTGAACGCCCTGGCTGAGAGCCAAGAGGCGGCCCTGGCCAACGCGGCCGCCTCAGCGCTGAAAAAAAGGCCCCGAGTGGAGTGTGGATTCGACGTGTTGCGACGGATTGGTGGTGGGTTCTCTGGTCACTCTAGCCAGGATCAGCGCAGTTTTTGCGCCATAAAAAGAGCAAGTTCTTTCGTGGTTGTGGCAGCTTCCAACATTCGCGATAAAGTCAGCTCTACAAGAAACCGAAGAGAGGAGCTCAAAAGCCCCCTTCTTTTCGCAAGCATGACAAAAGCGGACGAAATCTCCTTCGCTGGTTCGCTCAACACAGCATTGCACCCAAACTCTTACTAGGATGAGCGCTGTTTTAGCGCCATGCCATAAGAAGACACAGATCATCCCGGAAATCCTGTGGATGGCTGAATTCCTGCACTTGGAAACCATGATTGAAACCATTGTTTGTTGGTATAAACATCGAATCGTACCAGGGATTTTGTTCGAGCAGAGATTTCGCAGCCATCCACAGCATCAGCAATCTCCAGTGCATGGCCCAAGTCAGGCGAAACAATTTCTGAGTCCGAAACGGGCGCCGAGTCCCGAGTGCTCGGAATCAAACTCGGGTGAACGGAGTCCGAAGCCACACCAAAGGTGGCACGCTTGCAAACTCAAAGAACCATGAACATCACGGCGCGTTAAAAAAAGCGCGCGCATAGTCCTAAGGTAGACATATATTTGCTGAAACATGATTGCATAGCAGCCAGTGTGCGTGCCTGCGTGCCTGCGTGCCTGCGTGCCTGCGCGCGTGCGCGCGTGCGCGTGCGCGTGCGCGTGCGCGCGTGCGCGCGTGCGCGCGCGTGCGCGCGTGCGCGCGTGCGTGCGTGCGCGCGTGCGTGCGCGCGTGCGTGCGCGCGTGCGTGCGTGCGTGCGTGCGTGCGTGCGTGCGTGCGTGCGTGCGTGCGTGCGTGCGTGCGTGCGTGCGTGCGTGCGTGCGTGCGTGCGTGCGTGCGTGCGTGCGTGCGTGCGTGCGTGCGTGCGTGCGTGGGTGGGTGGGTGGGTGTGTGGGTGTGTGGGTGTGTGGGTGTGTGGGTGTGTGTGTGTGTGTCCACACGCTTCACGCAGCAGTAATGGATATGTTGAACGCCTCCTTTCGCTGTCCTTACAAAAATGGAAACCACCCAGAGCAAGCTTTCAGGCCCACCCACCATCTTGCACCATTTTGGTCTCAAAGCTGTCAGATTCTTTCGCGGGAAGCAGGAAAGGGGAGCTACAAGAAAGCCATCCGTTGGGCTCCCTCAAAGGATGGACACAAATAACGGTGAGATGCTCGAGTGGCCCGAACCAACCCCCCCAACCATGCCATATCGCGAACCATATCGCGAACCATACGGTGGATGCGAACTCCTGCACCCTTCAGAAACCCAACGGAATGATTCGAACCCCCAACGTAAATACCAATAAACCATGGTTTCATTCCCATGGTTTCCAAGTGGTGCAGGATTTCGTCCATCCTCAGTATGATGTTGATCATGATGTTCCCTCAAGCAGCTGTGGGAGGGCTAGAGAAAATTCCTTCATGGATAGTGGTAGATGGCTTGCAAGGTCACCGTGCCGGACGAATTCCTGGACCCCATCATGTCAGACATCATGGCAGTGGTCCCAAGCGAATGGATTGGTTTCAGAAGCCCGCGAGCTGCGATGGCCTCCCCCCCCCGGCTTCAAAAAACCCTTGATTGAAGACGGGCGTTTCCTGATTCATCGACAGGTTTCTTGGGCTTTTCGGGTTTTTAGCAGCGTTTGGTTCTTCTTCGATCCGGGATCCTGCATCGCTGTCCCTGATTCGACCGGTTTCTTGAAGGATCATTGGGTGGCTCGTCGATCTTTTTTGCGACCCAAAACTTTTGGTTGGTTTCAAAGGGAAGCCAACTGTAGAACGGGGGGGGGGGGTCCCCGAAAAAGAGAGTGACAGTCCGCGAGTGCTGCGATCACAACGAGGGTTTTTGGCGGGTTCCAAATGTTTTGATTGGGAGCCCTGAGGGTCCTTCTCAGACTTGCTCGAGAGAAATCCATAGGTGCGTTTCAGAGCCTTGGCCAAAATAGCAAAAGGGCCCCCTCTCCATGTTCTTGAGGTTGCTGCCATTTTTTGTGGGTTCCTGCAAATGGAAACCACTAGAGCCACAATCAAACCTGGGTACGATGAAGGTTGGCAAGGGACAATCCTGACCACAAATGGGTGCAGAACTCCGCCCTTTCAATTCCCTCACATGCTCTTAGACCATTTTTCCTACCAGGTGTTAGGTGCATGACTCACCCGCAGCACCCCCCCAACTGATCTTTCCCTCCAAAATCCGGATCCTTGGTGTCGACTATGACCAGCACCCAACTGATTTATGTCCAAAATCCGGACCCTTGGTGCAGTTGGGACTTGGACTGGCAAGAAGCCTCCCATTTGCAAGCGACTCCACCTGGTTTTCCGCCCTTCTTTTGGTGTATGTATAGTCATGGGTCCAAGAAAGGCTGTGATCACCTTTTTCTTTCCTGGGTCCAAGGCCACCAAAAAGGCTGTGATCACCTCCTTTTTCCCTTTTGCCCCCCAAAAAACGGCTGACCTTTGGATTTGTTTGCAAAAAAACCGTGCGATCGCCTTCGGTTTGGGGCGATCGCCTCTGATTTTCGTTGGGTTCCCAAGACGGCGATCGCCCCCTTCGTCCCTTGCGCGCCTGGGACGCCGGCGGCCGGGGGCCACTTCTGGCGCTCGAAACTCGCAGGTGGATCCAGTCCTTTTGCCCACCTCCAACACCATCATGGACAGGAAGGCGGCCTGCCGCTTTTTTGTTTGTTTTTCTTTCCTCTGCCGAGCTGGGGAGTGCAAGAAATAACACCTTGGAAAAGCAAAACTGTGTATGTATATATATATATATATATATATTATATATATATATATATGTGGTCAGGCCCTCCCATGAACTACCTGTCCTTCTTTCTTGATGAAATGACTGCAAAAACACTGTGTGGTTTCCATAGTTATATATATATATATATATGTAAGGGGCCCCTGTGCTGGCAGTTGTGTACTGGACATCAAACACCATCCACTGTATCCTGGTAGTTTGTGGGTGGCTCGCCATTTTAATTGTACCCTTGTTGGGGGCCATATGCAGCATATACTTTGGACATCCGATTCACCTGCGTGAGGCCAAAACAAACGCCTTTTTGTACATACGTGTCCTGGTGGGTTGAAAATAGATGAGTATTAAGCAACCAGGTCAACTAGGGCCATCCAATTTCTATTGGTAGTTGAGTGTGGGTTGGCTTGCTTGCCATAGGCCACGGGGCATCCACTATTTGAGAGGCTGACATCGTCAGCCCAGTTTTGGGTCCCAGAACGGAGGTTTGAGCCTGACGCCTCGCTCTCTTTCCTGGAAGTCCGTGAGTTTGGCGAAGCATGTGGGTGTGTCTTGTTTCGGGGACCCCCCCCAAAGAAAATGCTTGGGTTTTTTCTTGGGTTTTCCCTTGGGTGAACCCTTGGGTTTTCCCTTGGGTTTTCCCTTGGGACCCCCCCCCAAAAAAGAAGAAAGAAGACAAATTGTGGTTTTCCCCTGGGTTTCCCTTCAACCACACTAAAAGTGGATTACCGTTTAAGAAGGCACACCCCTAAAGAAGACTTTGGCGAGTTGATCACTTTCCAGTTTTAGCCCTGTTCAGTGATCACGGTCCGTGGCCAACTTGATGCCAACTTGTAGCCAATTTGGGTTTGTGTCAAAACTGGACCCCTAAAACGTGGCATAAAATGGGTGATGTCCTTTTGGTTCCCTTTAAAACCCAAGTTGAGGGTATCGCAGAAAAGACGAGCCACTCGTTTCGCATCCCACTTGGCTGAAAAACCTTCGCGCTTTGCGCGCAGGTCATCGAAAGGCACATCATGTCCAACGACGATGACCCTTTCAACCGGAAGCCTTTGGCCGTCAAGGCGGTCGATCGGTTCGGATTTCCGATTTCCGGATCGGACGTGACTGCTTCACAAGCAAGAGTGGTCACCTTGGATATGTGGATATGGGTCAAAATTAACCCACCACCAGAAAAAACCGCAGGTTTCAGTCCATGTTTTCATTTACCAGGGCAAGCCATTTTGGGGTTACCATATTTTTGACAAGCACAGCCATGTGACAGTATTAGGGGGGCCCCAAGGTTGGAGACGCGCACGCACACAAAGACAGCACACACAAACACAAACCAGAGAGAGAGAGAGAGATAGAAAGAGCGAGAGAGACAGAGAGACACAGATATACATCATATATAATTAACCAGGCTCCCGCCTGCTGCCGCCGACCCTCGGCGCATTAAGGGAAAAGTCACAAGGACCGGTCCTGAAACACGTCCGCAAACCCAGGGACCACTTATAAGATCCTCTACGACCACAAACAAGGATTAACGGAAAAGTCAGAAATATGGCAGCTAGTCCGTTAATTACCGCTTGGGCCGGCTTGCGCCCTCCCGAAGTTGCCCTGGACCGGTCGCCGGCAGGGACCGGGACAGGCTGGTCCCAGTCTGGCGCAGTGTCCTGAAACACGGGCGCCAGTCCGGAAAGGCGTCTGGAGCGGTTTGAGGCTGGTCCTCAGGACGGGTTTTGGCTGACTACAATGTAATCGGAAACAGCAGAACCAGGGTCCCAGGACCAGTCCCAGGACCGGTCCCAGGACCGGTCCCAGGACTGGTCCCAGGACCGGTCCCGGGACCGGTCCCGGGACCGGTCCTAGAAATCCACTTTTCGTGCAATAACTATCATTGATTCCAATCACTTCCAGTTGCATCCCACGCCGGTCCCCTCTGCAGGAGGCTGGGACGGGAGGCAGAGGGTCGGCGGATTATATAACACACCACACACAACACACAACACACAAAACACACAACACACAAAACACAAAACACACAACACACAACACAACACGCATCACACACACACTCACTCACACTTGTACGATCCATCTGATGGATTAGCAAGTGCCAGTTGATCAAACCCAGCATCCTCAGGTCACCATAGAGAGCTTCATCGGGCAGAGCTCTATGGGCCTGCTTTGCCCCTCTACTGTGCCAACGATGTCATGCCCTGTGCACACACACCCCGCCCAATTTGGGGTATAAATGAAATTTATCTTCCCGGTCACACAAATGGAGAAAAGTCGCCCAGAACAAGCCACAGACACAAAAACACACACAAACACTTGCACTTGCACTTGCGCTTGTACTTGCACTTACACTTACACTCACACTTTGCATGCACTTACGCGCTTACACACATGCACGCTTACACACACAGACACACACGCAGCACAACCGCTACCACAAATGCAACTACAAGCGCGAGCACAAGCACAGAAACACAAACACACACACACAGACACACAGACACACACACAGACAGACACAGACACACACACACACACACACACACACACACCACACACACACACACACACACACACAGACACACACAGACACACAGACAGACACAGACACAGACACAGACACAGACACAGACACACACACACACACAGACACACACAGACACACACACAGACACACACAGACACACACACAGACACACACAGACACACACACAGACACACACACACACACACACACACACACACACACACACGCACCAGACACACACACACACACCAGACACACACACACACACCAGACACACACACACACACACCAGACACACAGACACACACACACACACACAGACGCACAGACGCACAGACGCACGCACACACACACAGACACACAGACACACAAATTCAACTACAAGCACAAACACAAACACAAAGAGAAACGGAAACAGAAACAGAAACACAAACACCAACAAAAGCACACATGCACACATACACACACACAGACACACAAATTCAACTACAAGCACAAACACAAACACGAAGACAAACGGAAACAGAAACAGAAACACAAACACCAACAAAAGCACACATGCACACATACACACACACACACATACGCACCCACATCCACACCCACACCCACACCCACACATGCAAGCAAGCAAGGAAGCGCGCACGCGCGCGCGCGCGGGCGCGCGCGCGTTTGGCTGAGGACCTGGTGCCTCAGACGGAGCTGAGGGAGCAGATCGTGCAGTTCTGCAAAGCGAATGGCATTGTGCTGGGCGAGGGCGCGGCTCGGATGAATTGGCCTAGAGGAAAAACAAAAAACAGTGAGGGGGCCCTGGGTCCAGCAGTGCCCTTTTGCCCACTTGTTTGGAGGAGGGTTCCCCTACTAAAATAGACAGAAGAAAGTTGGTACCCTGATTCCAACCTCTCTAGTGAAGGACCTAGTAGAGGAAAACCAGCATTCGTGAGGGACCCCTAAAGCAAGACACCCGAAAAAAGTTTAAGTTTCCTTCAAACTCTTGTCCACGACATGAAAAGAAGACGGGCCACACCCGGCTTTTCTTGAAGATCGGTGCCCCTTTTTTGGGGGGTGGGTTTTGGGACAACTGAAAAAAAGAACACCGACGCCATGTTGGGGGCCGGACCCCCCCAAAAAAACACAAAGACGGACAAAACACACCAAAAGGTTCACTGTGTTGGTTTCTTGGTGGACCTCCAAAATTGTGGCTTCCCCTCTTGCCCTTCAAAAAAACGAAAAATTGCATCCCCGCCTTTTTTGTGGGTGTTTTTCTTGCCTGAGCTGCTGGGCTGAGCCGGCTGAGGACTGAAGCTGGCGATTGGAAGATGGAGGCAAGTGGCGCTCCGCATGTTCTCTGGTTGGTTTCTGGGGTGTGTCGTTTTAAGGCCATCCTTTGTTTTTTTGGGTGTCTTCAAAGGGAATCCGAAAGGAGAAGCACCATTTTGGAGGGTCCCCAAAGGCAACGTCATGTTGCTCGTCTTCTTGGATAAATGGTCATCCATCCTTGCGATCCGTGCCCTTGAGGTGTCCAATGACGTCCAGCCAGTTCAGCTGATGCAGCGGCATGCGCCAAAGTTGTTTCTAGAGTCACCGCTCGCTTCCTCTACTTGCTAGTGCTCAGTAGGGAATGACCGAGTCCGGGTGTTGGGAATGAGCCGGTTTTGGGGATTCCCGAATATAGGAAGCCGAATCTGGGATGGGTTTTCTCGGGGTCAGTCCATGTCTCATTCCCTGCCTATCGAACCAGCAAGTCTATGGTTGGTTGTCCAGGGCAAAGACCCACATTGCCCCACTGACTTTCGAGCCGAAGTTAAGCGCGTGCGACAGGCGCAAAGCAAGGTGCCTGACGCGCACAGGCTGTCAGGTGTGTTACGAGCTACTTTTTTGACCATGAGTTCAATACGGGACACCCTCAGTGCTTGGGCATAAGTCCCATAAACGATGTCGACCAAAGGCCTGCTCCAAAAGTACACATTTAGCTCTACCTGTAGCAAGAGAGGCGCGCTCTTTTGCTCAATGTCTGCTCTCTCGCGGATAGAAAGACCGATTGCTTTGCAACAAAACATGTTTCATGTCGAAAGCGATGGATATGACTCAGAGAGGCAAGCATAGCAGCACTTGTTGTTGAAAGCAGATTCTCTCACCCAATCAGCGCAGGTGATGTCAAGTTCCCCTCCCTTCCAGGAAAGAAAACCACTATTCTAGGGGGGTCCTCTGACGAGGGGCGTCCTTCGGATGAATCCGAATTTAGTACTATGCAACCCCTGAAGCTAACACGGCACCACCTCTATGATGAGGAATTCAAGAGATTTGGGATCCAAGTAATGGAAGAAGTAGCCATCATGCTCGCTGCCTTCTCCTTGGCTCAAGGGCGGGATTGTCCATGTTTAAGTCAGAAGTTCGCATGGGATATGAATCTTTCCAACTTTCTGGGGCTATCTGTTTTTGGCATTTTTCTTGGTTGAAAAGGGACACCCACGGCAAACCCACGTGTTTTTTGGACCGATCGAACTCGTAATTTTGAGTCGCTCCATGGATTCCTCGAATCGTCTGGGATCGAATTAAAAAGTCGCACCGTGGACTTTTTGCCTCATGGCCTTTCCGGTGCCGACATTGCAGCTGGCAGGGAAAACTCCCCAGCGCGCCTTGGTGAGAAACACAGAGAGAGGAGTGCAGAAGCTTCAGCGAAGGAATCCAATTGGTTTGCTGACAGAGAAATCGTGTGTGTTTTTTTTGGTTTCCCTCCCACGCCTTGATTGGTGGTTTGGACTCGACGGACCGGTTTGAATTCTACTTCCTTAAGCCAAATGGGGAAGGTATAAAAGTCCAAGCCAGCAAACTAAAACAAGCCAAACCACCTAGAGCGATGTTTTACGCTTGCCAGCTGAATCTATCGCTTCGCTTTGCAACCCCCTTTTAAAGGGCAAGCGATTCGGCGTGGTCTACCTTGGTGAAAAAATGGCGGGGGGGGGGGGGGGCTGGTGATATGGATGGATCAAAATCCCCACAACGCAGCACTTGGGATTGGTGGCTGAAATTCCAGAGTTTCATCCATCTGAAGTGGTGCGATTTGCGGATTTTGTCCACACGAATCTAAGTTACTGCTGCCTACAGCGACGATGACTTTGACGATGAGGCGCCAGATTGCGCCCATTTGGGAGGGCGTGGGGTGTCGAAAAGGCGGGACCTGCAAAAGCTGTTCTTTTGGTTTTTGTAGAGGGTAGCTTCAAAATCACCCCCCTCACTTTTCTTTCTTTCTGGCCATCAGAGCGTCCCAAGGACGCTGTGCCTGCCTCGGGCGGATTAGTTGAATGGACAAGATCCGACTCCGCGCCACGTGGAAACCAAGGCGTTGAAACCATTTGGCTGTGGGTCAAAACCAATGGGATCCCATTTTGGTTGGTAGGTGAATTCACCACCCATTTTAGAACCTATTTTAGGGGGATTTGAATGTTCACTGGGGCTAACCGGGATTTTGACCCATGGCCATTTTTGGTTGATCTCTTCGAGGGCATTGAATCGAGGCCTCCCTTCAGAAGTCCAAGCACTGGGCGTCTTGGTGCTTCGTCGTTTATGCGTTTGACGAAATCGGGCGAAACAAAGTGCGACGGATCTGCCAGGAAGCTACGAGATGGAACCTGGACCTCCAATGCTCGTCGTTCTCTCTTTCTTTTGTTGAAGGGCCCCATTATCAGCTGGCAAGAGAGGTTCTGAAGGTCTGGGGTAAGAATGGAAGCAACTTGAGGGTATGTCCGACTGTCCTACTGTTGACCTAGGATTAAGCCCGTCCCATTCCGGGGTGTTCCCTCCAAAGTGGTCTGAACCCCCGCAAGGAATTGGACGCCCCCCGATCAAAATCAACCAGGGGTCTGACTTAGATCCGGGGGTCATCAAGATCGAAGCCGGGCCCGAAGCCGCTGGCGTGGTTTCTTTTTGGTTGCCCAAAGGGAGGGCCCCAACGTTTGGGTTGTTTTGCTTTTCTTCTGCGTTGGGTATCATGGGGGCTGGGGGGAGGGGAGCCCCAAGAAGCCCCAAATTTGGCCTTATTAGGGGCTTAATAAGGGCAAGTTTGCGCTCCCTCCCCCTCCCCTCCCTCCTCCCCAGCCCCAGTCCCCATGAGGGTAGTTGAACGAAAAAGAGGTAACAAAAATCATTGCCCGGGTGCGATATGTTTTTGTCGGGGGTAAGCTGGCCCTTCTGTTTCCTCCGCAAAGGCACGCTAGAAATATGAGTATGCTGGTTACGAGATCCGTTGAGGACTTGGGCCCCCAGATTGTCCATAACAGAGGGCCCTGTGATGAACATTGTTTTGGTGGGGATGCATGTCCACCAACCACTTTTGAGGGGGTCCCCTAGAAAATTCATGGTATGCCTCGGGAAAAGTACCATGAGAGTTCAGTAAAGTGGATTCCTGCAATGATTCTAAGGGTTGTTTCCCCATTCTTTTCAACCATCCTTCTTTTCAAAAACCGATCGCCATTTCCCCTGAGTTTCCGGAGGTTTGCTAGAAAGATTCGGATGCCTGGGTTCAGAATGGAATTGGAAGGTACGCCTAGATTGGTTGTCCAAAACCCTCCACCCCCTCTCCCCCACCCAAGCCTCCAACCCGGGCTAAATGGACGTTACCCCTAGAATTTTGGAATTCCGGTTTTGTTGCGCCACAGGCATTTGCTCCTTTGGCCTAAAGCTGTACTCTTCGAAGTCATTGGCCTGGCCGGTTGCTAACTTACCTCTTAAAAAACACAACTTTTCAACTTTTGGGGTAACATGGGCTATATGTTTGTAAAAGATGAGAACTTCCCCAGGGCTTGGAGTTTTAAGGGGTAAGTAAATAGAAGGAACCCTACCCGGTGACTTGGGCAGGAAGTCACCTCCGACTCCGAAGGCGACGCCGCGTTGCTGGCAGCGCAAGGCTTCGAGCCCGGCAGAAGAAAAAGAAAAAACCGGAGCACTTCTGACTGGGCAGTTTTTGTTTTATCCTCGGATTTTTTGGTTCCCTTTGGCTTTTGCTTGGGCAGTTGTTTTTCTTTTTCTTTTTTTTAATCGGAATTTGGTTCCCGCTGGTTTCCCTTACCAGTGTGTCCTTCTTTGTAGAATTGTCCAACTTTAATCCCAATGCTTCGTTGGTTGCACCCTCATGTTGTGCTGGTTGATTTTGGTTGGAGGACATTTCTTGCCAGTGGTGCTGACGAACCTTTCTGGGAGGTCCGATTTTGTCTCTGGAAACCCCAAGGCCGGCAGGTGTCAACCTCGTGCCCTAAAAACAATTTCTCGTAGATTCTCTCAGTTGTTCAAAGCGAATCGACCTTTTGACCTTTTGGTTTTCCCTTGGCCCATTTTTAGTAGTCCCAAAAGGTGATCACCTTTTATTCTCAGTTCCTTTGGGCAACTGAGTTCTAGGCTGAAGGGGCGAGCCGGACCATCTCAGTTCCAAGAAGCCTCCAAGGGGGGGGGGCTTTGTTTTGCTGTTGTGAAAGCTGAGTCGGACGTGTCTTAGGGACCCCCGGACCCCTTTTGGTTGCTGAAAGGAGGACACCAAGTCCATTTCTTTGGGGAGAGGTCCCCAAATCCTTAAGATCATGACAATAATGAAAATAAGGAAAATAAAAACAATGATAGCAAGAATAATAAAGCAAGCCGACGCGCCCGGTTCTTCACGCGCCATTTTTGTGTGTTCGCCCGTCAGGCGACGAGCGAATGCCGATCGCCAGGAGCTGGTGGGTTTCTGGAGGGTGGAATGGGGCTGTGGGGGTTATTACTTCTATTTGGTTGAGAATAGTTGATTATTTTCCACTTGTGGTTTTGAAGGGAATCTATCACTATTGGATTTTTTTTTTTTCAGGGCACTTAAGCAAATGGAGGATTACAGCAAGCCTGGGGCTGGTGCATGAGGTTGCCTGGAAACCAGGGGAAAGTGAATGAGGTTGCGGGGCACTGGAAGCTGGGGCTGTGTTGCCAGTTCGGGGGAAGTCATCCGGAAGAATCCAGGTACCAGCGGTTTCTTCCGGGTAGATAGCTTCTGGCAGCAGACGGGTTGTGTCATGCACCCTGTGAGCAAGGTCAAGGCCACAAACCGAAGAATTGCATGACCAGAGGAAACTGTCAGAGATAGCCTCCTTGCTCGGCCATAATCCGCACTTACCTGCGACGGCCTGGGCAAAACGTCCTTCCATGTGTCCTTTTCAAGATTGGACCCCCTCCCTCCCCCCCCCAACAAAAAGCAAAACCAAAAAAACAATTACGCCAGATAGCGAACAACTGCACCTGCACCAGCACCCCAAGCAGCGCCCCTAATTGCAGGCTTCCTACCACCCGGCCGTCAATCTCGCAAAACGCGCCTGCGCCGTCGCCAGCACCTCAAACAGCACCCAGAGCAGCACCTGCTCCAGCACCCAGACTGCATGCCTCGTAGCACCCTGCCGTCAATCTCGCAAATCGCTTACTTCTCTTCTCTTTAATTATTAGAAGGTAGAACCCCTATAGCTTTCAGCCATCAGGGGAATGAACAAACATGGTGGTTTGCCTTAGAGGTTCCCTTTCAAAGCAACCAAAAGCGAATACCAACTCCAAAAGTCGACACCCAAATTCAACCGGGCAGAAATTTCACCGAAAAGAAACAAAGAGCCCAGCGAGATCTCTCTCCCTGTAAACATACAACAGCATGTCCATAGTGATAGATTCCCTTTCAATCCAACAGGGGGAATCAAACATGTTCTCAAGCAAATGGAACATGATTTGAGGCCCAGTTATTTTAGCGTATTTGTGTTATTGTTTGCTTCACTTTGAGTCACTGGACAATTTGTAAAATGCATCCTAAGCCTACCTCAGCGAAAAATATATGTGCTTACATCTATCTGCTTAACATGTCACACGCAAAGAAGACGGATAACGGGTATTTGGATTGGGGGCTAGCCCAATTTGAGAGGCCAACAGCCGCCAGCGCAAAGCTTCGCGAGGACCTTCCTGCGTCCCGGCAGCCCTGAGCCGCCAGTGGGCAACGCAGGCAGGTGTTTGGAAGGGCCCGTGGTAACCCTGAGTTGGTGATTTGGATTGGTGGTTTGGGGATTTGGATTTGAACCTCTGGCTTGTGTGGAGGGTAAATCACCAAACCACCAATCCAGAAGCACCTGGAACAAAATGGGTGTAAGTTTCCGGCTGCACCAATCCAAACAACCGAACAACCAAACCACAGAACAACCAAACCGGGAAGCTGAGAGTGTGCTTCCTGGGTCCTTAGATTTGGGTATGGGGAGGTGACTGTATTAAACTGCCCTGCCAAAAACGAACATAAAACCTGCACAGGCACCGGTCCCCTCAAAAAGGCAAACGGTCTCGGGACCGGAACCCCGGTGCAGGCCTCTCTGTGTGTGTGTGTGTGTGTGTTGGGAGGGGAGATGAATTTAAACCGGACTTATTGAGAGAGACTACTTGATCAATTTGCAAAACAAGAAGCCTTTTCCAGCAGACCAGCAGGACCTTCCCCCCCCAGTTTGTTTTACCCTTTTTTTTGTGGGGGGGGGGTTCATGTTCTGGAAGAAGGTGAAGCTCCCCGTGTTGCCCTTTTTAAAGCCAGCGTAAGCATCACTTAAAGGCAAAGCACGTGCAAAGAAAAGCCAGTTGCAGGAGTTCCCGAATTAAGCCGGAGGACGCCATGTCGAAACGCAAAATGGATGCCACCATCAAAACGACAAGAAATTCGAGGTTTCAGTTGACTCATTGTTTGTGGCGGCATCTTCCATGAAGATTCATGCCTTTGGTTGGTACAGGCGTGTTCTATGCTTTGTCCAGGGTTTGGGTCCTGCAAACATAGGTGTCCTGGTTGCTTGGTTTGCTTGAAAACAGATGACCCTGTAAACCGCCAGGTAAACCAGGGCCATCTATCTTCAACCAAACCAACCAAAGAGGGCACCTATGCCTGCAACAGGATGGCTGCTTTGCACAGGTACAGAGCGTACGCTGGACCCGCGCGCATACCTAGAGGATGACAACGCCCGGGACTGCCGACTGCCGGGGAGGTTCTTGTGCAGATCGGTCGAGGCTTGTCCATTTGGGAGGGAAGAGAGGGGCACTCACTATCTAACTTCCTCACAACAGCCAGGGGCGCTTATTAAGTGTCCTTTAGAGGAACTGCATGTATTCCGTTCGGCCCAAAAATGGCGATGGGTAACATTCCCCGTGTGGTGACAGTCATCCTTGTTGGTTTCCCTAGTGGTCACCCCATGCGGGCCTTTGGACCTATATGTTTTGTCCGGGGCTATGGCCATGTGAGCCCAGCAAGGACCGCTGGGATGCTGCCGTGAGCATGTCTGGCGCGAGGCTCGCTGTGCCGAAAGCATGCAGAGAACTTGGCATGCTGAAACCCCCCAAAGGATCGTGCGGTTCTTTGGTTTTTGGTGGTTTTTAGTTGGCTTAGTGGAGTGATTCACTGCAGATGGGCACAAGAGGGGCTTTTCAGATGTTGCGAGAAACACCTACTCACCAACTAACATGGAAGTGCACAAAGCCCGTGTCCAAGAGGTCTTTCTACAGGGGTCTGTGGACTTCCGTGTTAGTCGGGAGGGCAATGCTCAGGTGACCGTGGCTTTTAAAAAATGGCAGCCTTTACAAAGGGCTTCGCTCCAAGTAGTGGTTTTTCTTCGCTCGCGCCAAGCGTTGGGCTCAAGAGCAAGAAAGTGCCATGCTGGGAAAGCCATCAGCTGCAATCTTAGACAGGCGCTGGCATCCTTTCCATGGATTGATTCGCTTTGGTACAAAGATGTCAGAGGATGTGAATCAGAAGTGAGAGGATGTGAATCAGAAGTGAGGCAAACTTGCTGGGGTGTCTCTTTCTTTTGCATGTCATCCAGCTTTCTCCCACCTTGCTGTGATGGATCAAGTTTTGCGCGCGAACTGCGATCCGATTGCGCACCGCCTCTCTCGCAGGCTGCCCCCCCCCGGCTTAAACCAAAAGCCCACCTAGATAGCCGGCACTCTCTGCTCTTTGCTCTGCTTCTCGCCATGGCGAACTCTCGGTGCACTGCCCAGGTCTGGGCTCCCTTTCCTCTCCCCTTTTGCTGCGCCGATGGCTCCTGGCTTCGAAAGCGGCGCGTTGCTCCACTCCTTCTCCCCCACGTAAAGCATCAGAGCGCTCTGCGGTGCGCTCTGCAAGTTGTGCTGGTTGTTGCTTGAAATCGTTCTTCGCGTTCTTCGCCCGGAGAAAGGAACCCCGGTTCAAGTTCTTTGGCCAGTTTCATGGCTGGGGAGGGGAGGGAGCCAAATAAGCCGCTGGTTAAGCCCTTGTCTTAATAGGCCGAGTTCGGCCTTGGGCTCCCTCACCCCCCTCCCCTCCGGCTGTCGTCTCCCATGGCCAAGAGAGAAGGTCTGACTGTGGATGGATATGAAATCCTCGTTTCGGCACCACCGAAATCAGAAACCCAACAGAAGGATGACCGATTGCCCAGCGTAAATACCGAGCAATGGTTTAAACCATGGTTTCAAAGTGGTGCAAACGGATTTCGTCCATCCACAGCATGGTTTCCTTCAAGGGAATCCCCTTCTGGTTCGTTCCCAACACCCGGACTCGGTCATTTCTACTGAGCGCCAGCAAGTGGGTCAAGGGGTTCGCACAGGTACACCCTTATTGGTGGTTTGGATTTGGATTTGAAGCCTTAGGAGTTTGTAAAGGGCAAATGGGGTTTTCCAGCCCTAAACCACCAAACCGCCGGGCTCCAAACCACTAATTTGGAATGGCCTGGATCGCCAGTTGCTGTTTTTTTTTGTTTTTTGTTTTTCTCTTCCCCATGCACTTTACCCCAAGAACCAGCAACAGTGACCGCAAAAAGCGATTGCAACTTGGCTATCGAGAAACACCCATCCAACCGGGCCGCATGTGTCATCTGGCGCGTTGACCCAACCTCCGACTCGGCTGCTCGGGGGGCCGGCGCCTTTTTCTGAGGCGGGAACACATAGCTCTCCCACGCTGCCGCCGCACATCCCACAGGACGCAGCTTTGATGAAAAAGACGCCAGGGGGAGTTGCGTGGGTATGGGTCAAAATAAAGGCACCAGGGGACCGCGGGTTTTGGGTTGCTCCCCTTCCAACGTCAACCAAGGTTAGCACCCGCTTTGACTGGCCAATTGAAATTTGAAAGGTATTCCGCAAGATCCTTGCCCCAGGAGTTACACAAGGGAGCGGTTCCCTTTGTAAATGGCTTCCCAATAGGGATTATGGATTGGCCAAGACTTCATTGTGAACAGCCCGCTTTGAGAAGATCCAAGAAACGGAATCCTCATTGGGTTTGGGTATGCTCGAGCTTTCAATGTACGGGACTAGCAACTGACTTGGCAGTGGCTCTACTTTGCTGCAAGCGTGTGCTCACGAGCAGGCCGCCGGAGCAACTGGGATGGTCATTTGTCTTTTTGGTGCCCCTTTTTCAGGATTGAGGGGAACCCAATGGGACACCGGTAAAGGGGGGGTGTTCTAAACAAGCGAGCCCTAGCCCAGCCAGAAACGGGGGGGGGAGTCGTCGAGGTTGGTTCCAAGGTTGTGCGGCTTGATGCCCGTGTGTTGGTTTCGATTGCGGAAGCCATTCCGGAAACTAAAGAGCCCATGTTGAGACAACCCCATTCCTTCTGGTGGGGCCCGTGTTTTTTGGGGAACCCCATTCCCCCCCCAAAAAAAAAGAAAAGAAGAAGAAAGAAAGCCGCCGCCGAGAGTTTTTTCTTTTTGTCGCTTCCCTTTCAAGTAGCCAAGCAACAAGAGGTCCCAACCTGGAAAGACCTGGGAAACGTCGACCTGAGGCCGGCTTAGTGCAGCTCGATGAGCTGAACAGCAGGCGGAGAGTGGTGCTGGAGATGGGGACTTCTCAGGGAGGGGGAGAGAGGGGAGATGGGGGCGAGAAGGGGGGGCGGAGAGATGGGGGGAGAGAGGCGGAGAGAATGGATGCATAAACTTATCCAAAAAGGGGCACCATTTTGAGAAACATCCAGATGTGAGTGGCGGTGTCTTTGAATATCTAAGTCACTGTGATTGGGAAGAAGGACCTCGAGGTTCCCCCCGTGTTGGTTTCCTTGGCCAATGGGCGAATTTAGGTCACTCTGGGCAATGGGTTTCGCGAAAGCTGGACCTGTTGTTGGAGAAGCGAGTTGTCAAAGGCTCAGATCATCTTGATGGATCAAAGTGATCTTCCCTGTTCTTGGCATGGTTGTGTTCTTTAGTTTGTTGGTTCTGTTCACTTTTAGTAGGGGGCTGCAAAAAGAAACAAAGCTTTTTGCTACCATACCCAGGGTTGTGAAGTGATTTTCCTTGGTGGGATGTTTAGGCTGCCATTCGAAACCATCCCACTCGTGTTTACTGCCCCTGCATCAATACCTAAATGATGTTCACAGGATCTCCTCCAGTTGCCTTAAGACTATGTTTTTGTTTTCCCCCGTTGGTGTCAAAGGGTGATCTCTGACGACTGGAAATATACCTACTCTCGCAGTACTTCCTTAAGGAAGTGGAAGATTCCCAGTTGAAAGTCACACCCAAACGAAGAACGCAACCTCGTTGAACGCAGGCGGACGACCAGTTGCAGCGAGTGCAGCGAAGCCTTGAAGCCCTTCAAGAGCGCACGGCCTCCGCTGGGTGAGTTCGTGGATAAGTGTCTTGGACAAGCGTCGCAGAAGACTTGGTTCCCAGCCTCCACCTCCTGAAGGGTTGAGGTTTTTAGGGTTTAGTGGTAGTTTCCAGTGGTGTGAGGATATAGTGTTGGGATTTAGTGTTGGGGTTTAGTGTTTAGTGTTAGTAGTTTAGCGTTTCCTGAAGTAACCCCAGAACTGGAAGTGCTATGGCAAAAGACAAACTCAGATGGTCATGGGCCATTCCGGGGATGGATGGTCACACCATGTCATACCCATTAAATTGCTGGGGACGGACCTTTTAGGCCAAAAGGCTCCGAAGACATTTCGAGTTTGACCACAGTTGATCTCGACGCGGGTGTTGATCTGGGCGTGTCTTTTTCTTGGGGAACCCCCTTTTGTCACGGGAAACCTATACAGGAAACCCATTTTGCGGGTCCCCCCGAAAAAGACACACCCTACTTCCAGTGCTACCCCCAAGGTATTTTGGTCCTTTTTCTTCAAGGAGCCTGAAGGAAACCCATGTCGTGGGTCCCCAAAATCTGACCGCACATCTCACGTTGCTGGCGATTCACCGAGGTTGGAAGCGGCGCTGTCGAGGTGTGCCCATCTCAGTGGGTGAGTTGAGAATTGAGAAGTTGAGAAGCGTCATGACTTGAACAGAGGTGTCCTTCTTAGGGAATACTTGTGTTTGCTTTGGTTTCCCGAACCAACCCCCCAAGAAAGGTGGGTGTACCGCCCAAAGGTGGGTGTCGGTTTCCTTTTAAGCCCAGGCATAGGGCGTCCTTAGGTCAGTTTAGTTGGAACTAGACAGGTCCCGCTGGTGTCGCTTGGTGAATTGCCAACCATTGGCCAGAAAAAACGACATTGATTGAAGGTACCATTGGCAGAAAAAAGGAGAAACAACATTTGCCGGAAAAAAGAAGATATTGATTGAAGGTACCATTGCCAGAAGAAAAACAAGAAGGAAAAACCATTGGCCAGAAGAAAAAACCCGACATTGACTGAAGGTACCATTGGCATAAAAAAGGAAAACAAAACATTTGCCAGAAAAAAGAAGAGATTGATTGAAGGTACCATTGGCAGAAAAAAGGAAAACAACGTTTGCCAGTTTGTCAGAAAACAACAAAGACATTGATTGAAGGTACCATTGGCAGAAAAAAGGAAAGCAACATTTGCCAGAGAAAAAAGACATTGATTGAAGGTACCATTGGCAGAAAAAAGGCAAAAAAACAGTTGCCAGCAAAAAGAGACATTGATTGAAGGTACCATTGGCAGAAAAAAAAAAATGAAAAAATGCCAGACAAAAAGAACATTGATTGAAGGTACCATTGGCAGAAAAAAAAAAGTGAAAAACACATTTGCCAGAGAAAAATAAGACATTGATTGAAGGTACCATTGGCAGAAAACAGGCAAAACAACATTTGCCAGCAAAAAAACACATTGATTGAAGGTACCATTGGCAGAAAAAACAGGGAAAACATTTGCAGGAAAAAAGAAGACATTGATTGAAGGTACCATTGGCAGAAAAAAGTGGAAACACACATTTGCCAGGGGAAACAAACTGTTTTACCAACAGGACACACTGATTTGAAGCAGCCAGCACCCGACAGTTCGGACAGCTGGGGACTGGAGACACGCCTTGGAGCGCAGGGGCTGACCTATGGGATGCAAAAGGCCAAAAAGCCAGGCTAGGCGACCCAGAACAGTTTTTTTTTT